TGTGTGTTCATGTGTGTGACTGTTGGCATCAGGTCAGCCAACTTCCCTGGCTGAGCTCCAGGGGCAGGGATCACGCCTGGCTTTGCTCTCCATGATGTCCCCAAGGCCCAGCCCTGAGCTTGGTACACACGAGGCCACCTGGTGGTGACCCTGGGGCGGGAACCCCCAGTGAGGGTGAAGGACCCTTTGGACCTGACTGGAGTCCAAAAACCAGTAAAGCAGAGCAGGCAATCTGGTGGGAAGGTTGGTCTCTGGGTCCTGCCGGCCATGCTGCTTTCAAAGCCTTGAGCTTGGTGTCAAACGTCCAGAGACAGTAGAGCTTGAACTTGAGCTGGAGTCGAGTAAGCATAACGTATGCACCTTGAGTCTCTCCTGAGATGTGGAGGCTGCTTGTCAGTTGCATTGTTGATCACAGCATCGCTGTGCCAGGTGGAACAGAGACTGGCTGGGTCTGGGCCACGTCTAAACCCGCGTTCTATAGCCTCCTCCTCTCACAGGTGCGTGGCATTGGCTGGGAATGCTTAGTGAATAGTGCGGTTCCTCCTGTACTCGTCTGCCTCATTTACATAACCCAGTGAACTGAAAAGTCGTTTTTCTTTGGCTAAGTTATTCATCTTATTCTCGGCATTTGGCTGCAATAATATCCCTCCTTCGGCATGGTCATGCGGTGATCCGGGCGTTTTGTTCTGGCAGTGAGGAGGACACTCACAGTTAATAACACATGAAGCCATTTCATTAAAAGGAAAGTTTTGTTAGGGATCCATTAACACAGGCCGCGAACCAAAGCACAAATCATTTCGTTCCCTGGCCGTTAAGGAAGCAAAATGAATTAGGAACCGAAAGCCATTTTTAAAAGAATCTCTGTGATCCTCGCGTCATCTGACTGGCTTTGCATTTAACAGTCCAGAGTTTTGTGGAGCTCACGGCACTCGTTTTTCTCCGAGGTGGGGACGGTGCGGCGAGGGCGTTGGGCGTGGGTCGACTGAAGGCCCGGTTCCAGTTCTGCTACTCGCTCCCGGGTCTCAGTGGGCACCTTTTCCAGTTGCTCCGTGGCCCTGTTTTAAGGCATCTGTAGTTACAGGGCTTTTGCGAACATGGTATGCAAAGCATCTGGCACACCAAGTGTTGTGAAATGGTGCGTCCTCTTCTGTAAGTCCAAGAAAGTTAGATGGTTCGTACTGACTCTCACTCTCGAGTATTACAACGTGCATAAAAATAGGGTTTCATTCCGAGGCGCAGAACCGTGGGTAAATTATGCAGTTACCTGCGTTTGGAGATGGAGAGGGAGGCGTTTCACCTGTGCTGCAGGACGCAGGGGCAGCGCAGTTCTGGTTCCAAATCAGCGGTGCGTCGACGAGCATTTGTTTCCAAGCTCTTGCTGCATTCCTGTCGGCAGGTTTCTCTGTGGGGTCTGATCCTCGCAGAGGTTTACAGAGTCCATCAAGCACCTCCTACAAGGTCTTCCTCCTAAAATAGCACTCTCGTCCGGGAACCTGGGTGCTGTGTGACAGGGGCTGGATGAACGCCCGGGCCGGGCTGCAGCCGGCGGAGAGGTGCTCCGAGCTCGTTCTGAGTCAGAGGCCGAGGAGCGCTCCCCGGGTTTTGTTTAGCACTTGAAAACCCGCCCGAGAAGGTCACTTACTGAACTCTGCTGTTTTTGTTGAGTTTTCCAGAAGCGCAGGGGATGCTTAACTGCCCAATCCGCAGACTCTGCTTTATGTTTGTGTTTCTCCGCCTGCCTAGCATTTGACAATTAATTAGGCATGGTAATTACCTGCTTTAATTTCGTGATTGCACATCCTATAATTACTCCTAATTCTGTAATAGCGAAGTTCATGTACACAAAGGCAGCCGATGACGAAGGTGATGGGGGTGACAATATTAACAACTGCCACTGCCTACTGCCTGCCAGGCTTAGGGCAAGGCGCAATGTCCCACAGCCACCCAGCGATACTGGCATTGCACCCATTTTACAGACGGAGAGGCTAATTCTGAAGGTGGGACATTCCCCAGAGTCACAGCTAGAAAAGGGAAGAACTAGGTGCAAACACAGGCCTCTCCCCCTGCACAGACTGATGCCCTCTCCCTAGGCCATTCCGCCCTTGCAGGAGTGCCCGAGAGCCCATGTGCGTTTGGCTACAAATCGCCTGTGTCTGTGCTTGGCAACCCTTACCCCAGATCTCAGACTTTACCCTACTTAGAGGAAGCCTTTAAATCTCAATCTCAATCTCTCTCTCTCTCTCTCTCTCTCTCTCTCTCTCTCTCTCTCTCTCTCGCCTCTCTCTCTTGTCTCTCTCTCATCTCTCTCTCTCTCTGTCTCTGTCTTCCTGAACTCCCTTTCCACCCCTCCTTCTTCTCTACCCCTGTGTGTGTGTGTGTGTGTGTGTGAGTGTGTCTGAGATAAATTTTACCCTGGATACCAACACTTGGTGGTTAGATGTTTCAGCAGACAAACAGCCCTGTGCATAATCACTCAGTTCTGCTCTCCATGACGTGGAGCTACCGGCACTGTCTTCATTTTCCAAATGGAGAAATGAGGCTTGAGAAGTGAACTGACTTACGCAGGGTCACTTGGCTAGCAAGAAGCGAGGCTGGAATTCGAACCTGGGTCTGCCTGAGGCCACAGTCGGGTGTCTGGGCTGCTTCTCAACACTGATGTCTGACAGTGTGACGGGTCCACGTGGACACTGGGCCACAGAGCCTTCGGCACCGGCTCCTGCCCTGCCCATGGCCTGGCATGGACATCCTGGCACATAAGTGAGGTGAAGCTCACTGTCCTGAGGATAGTGAAGGTGCAACTTTGTTTTTAAATTCAGGATTAACATGAACATGATCAGGTGCATAAGTTTAAAGTTTGTAATTCCATTTATTTGTACTTCTGTATATACCTGTGTAACTGCTGCCTAGGGGGAGATATAGGACATTTCCAGCTTCTAGAAGGCCCATTTGTGCTGCTCTGTGTTCTACGTAAGAATCCTTGACTACTCATGAAGATAGTCTGTGACGTTTCTCCTAATAGCTTTATGATTTTTCCCCTTTCACATTTAAGTCTATGATCCCCAAAGAAGTGAGTGCCAAAGCCTCACACGTGGATGTCCATAGCTGCTTTATTCGTAGTAGCCCCAACTGGAAACAACCTAAATGCCTATCCCAGCAGAACAGGTAAATAAAGTGTGGCTTATTTGTGCAGTGGAATACTAGGCAGCAATGAAGAGGAACGTGTGTGCTGTACACAGCAACACAGATGCATCTCATGGGTGTGGTACAGTGTGAAAGAAACCAGACACATGGAGCACACAGCACATGATCTGTTTAGATGAAGTCTGAAAGCAGGTGGAGGGGTCTCTGGGACCAGCACTCGGCGCAGGAGAGAGTGGTACTGAGTGGTACAGGGCAGGAGTGAGCCCTGTGGGAATGCCCTGGCAGATGTTCTTGATCTTCCAGATGGAAGCGTTTCCCTGGGACCCTGTCTGTACAGGAGTTTGCTCTGGATTCTGTTCATTGATGGACCGAGGTTTCTGCCTCCCCCATCCCTGTTATCCTGTCTTTGCCCCCCAGTGTCATTACAGGCATCACTAGGGCAATTTTTTCCAGTGGAAAAGAAATCTCAAGATTTGAACTTCCTCTTAAAATGGAGAAGAGAGAGTTCACCCAGATTCTTGATTACAGATATTACCCTCCTCCTATTTAATTTTCTTTTGCTGAGTCAAGGAGATTGGACTCGAAGTGGCTTTTTATTGCTTGTTTTAAAAGGAACTTGGTTTTGTTGCAAGAGGTCGACTCTGCTCATTCCTCCAGGGAATTATTGTCTTTGTGGCTCAAGCAGAAGAAATTGGGGCCAATCAAACTTAATTTGGAGGGGAGAGCCTTTTAAAGTAAAAAACAAAACAAAACGGTTCTGGGCATAAGCCCTTTGAATTCATCAGTGAATTAAGTCCAGGATTTGGTTAAATGTATATAATTCAAGGACAACTTAATTTGCAGGGAATGTTTCCTAATTTGGGATGCTAAAAGCATTGTTGTTGAAGAGCAACCTTTCAGGTAATACTGGGTGATTTTAATAGCGTGGCACTAGATTAGATTAGATCTGAAGGGAGAGGCATAAATGAGAAGATGGAATTGGAACATCTGCTACCAAGGAGACCATTCTGAGGACACAGGATCTGCCCAGCATAGGGGCAGGTGGGCCTCAGAGGAACTGAGCAGGGGCCCTTGTGCTCAGCTGCCCACAGTGCTGGCTTGGGATTCCTGGCACCTTAGGAAGCCTGGGTCACTGCAGGGCATACTGTGATAGAAAGCGCCAGGCATTAGTGGCAGGCAGCCCTGGGTTTAGGTCCTTTATCTCCTCACCTCCCCTGGGCAAGTGAGGTGACTTCTCTGAGCCGGTGTCTTCCTTCATCTGCAAAGGGGGATGGTCATACCAGTTGCCTTGCAGATTAGCACAGGGAGAAATGGCGGGTGAGCCTCGTGGAGTGCCTGGGCTAGCACTCAGCATGATAGGCGAGAAAATCTGGGTTCAGGTTTAGACATGATGAGTTTTAGGTGGCTATGGGAAATCGAGTCTTGGTCTGCAGTTCATATCAGGGCTCTAAAGAGAGAGATCTAGGAGTCACTGGCCTTAAAAGTGAACCGTGCAGAACTGGGCATGTGGATGGGTGTATAGGGGAGAGGCAGAGTTTTAAGCAGAAGAAGAGGTGCTCACATAGAAGACCAGGGAAGAGCAGAGGGAGAGTGAGAGCAGGACTCCCCTTTCCAGGGAGTGAAAGCAGCTGGCTCTTGCGTGTGTGTTATGAAAAATGTAGAGTCAGAATTTATCACTCACATTGGAGAGTTTTTATCACTATGTTAAAGAGGATTTTAAGATGCATATTGGCATTCTCTGATTGCAAATTACAATAGCCATTTGTCACTGGAGACGGGTGGCGCTTTGCTGAGATCCTCATCCCTTAAACTGAGGGTTTTAAAAGATGTTTACATTTTTTCTTTCCTTTTCTTGGCAGGTCTACATCCGGATAAAAGATGACGAATGGAACGTCTATCGGCGGTATACAGAGTTCAGGGGTTTGCACCACAAGTTACAAAACAAGTACCCTCAAGTGAGGGCCTACAACTTCCCACCCAAGAAGGCCATTGGAAACAAGGTACCAGCACAAGCTCCTTAAAGAAAACCTGGCTGATGTTGGGAAAAAAGGAAGTAGTCACCCACAATCCTAGTACTTAAAGATAATTGCCATTAGGTTTTGTCCTAATGTGTGTCCTCTTATTTCTCTAGGGCAGAAGCTGGAAAACTTTTTCTGTAAAGGGCCGGAGAGTAAATATTTTTGGCTTTGTGGGTATATGATTTCAGCAGAAAATGCTCAGCTCTGCCGGTATAGTGCGGAAGCAACCGTAGACAGTACGGGCACAAATGGGCATGGCCGTGTATCCAATGACATTTTGGTTTTAAGAAGAGGTGGCAGCTGGATTTGGCCTGTGGATTCGTTTGCTGACTGCTGTTCTGGACCGTAATGTTTTTTCCAGTTTTCATCCATGGTAGTCATGGTTTAGACTTATAACTGTGGAGTAGAACTTTCTGAGAAGTTTTATGATTATTATTATTATTATTATTATTATTGTTGTTGTTATAGGGTTACTTGCCTCATGAAGCTTAATGCTTTATGATGCCTTAATTTGCTTCTGTGTATTCACCCAGGTACCCTTGAGAAGGGAGGCGCTAGCCCTCCATAAGCTTGGCGGTTGATTAGTATTCATTCATTCATTCATTCATTCATCATCTATGCATTCGTCATTCATTCAGCAGGCATTTACTGGGCACCTATTACATGTCACTGTGCAAGGGGCTGTGGCCAGCACCGCAGGAGACTGACCTGTGTCTGGGCCTGGCACAGAGCCCTGTGGAATTGTCTGCTTTGGCAGCTGGCATCGTGTTGTCACCCTCGTGTTTGCTCATGGCAGCGGTTCTACGTCTTGGCTGCACTTGGATCACCTGGGAGCTTCACAAACCACCGAGGACTGCCCTGCCCCACCTCACACACCCTCTTTCTGATCTAGCCAATGTAGACTGAGGCTGGGTGTGGATGGGTTTAACGGCTCTCTGGGTGATTCCAATATGGAGCTGAGCTAGAGAACCCCAGCTTAAAATCAAGGAGGCGGAGGCACATCAACAGATTCAGTGCATGGTCACTGGCTTGGCAGGGACAGCTCAGTTGGAGGAGATAGAGTCACGGCCTCTCTCAGGTGTGCGAAAAATCGGGCTTCGTACTGAGAGTGATCCCTCCACCATACCCAAACCGTGGCCTTGGCCAGCAGCAGCAGCTGGGAGCTGGGCAGAAATCCACGTTCCTGGGCTCATCCCAGACTGACTGACTTGCACCTCCAGGGCTGAGACCCAGCAGTTGGGGTTTAACAAACTCTCAGGGTGATGCTAATGCGTGAAGAAGTGTGAGAACCGGGCTAGCCAGTTGGCAAAGCCACGTGGCAGATTCCACGTGGGGAGAATTCCCCAGTTCTCTCTTCAAGAGGCACTTCGCTGGGACTGCCTTTGACCTTTATTGTAGAAAAACAGAACAGAAGTTTCCATAACTCACTCCCAGCACTTGGGAATTCCACAAGGAAAACTGCTATTACTGATGGTTATGTTTACATGTACATAGATTTCTGTTTAAATCAGATTGAAGTCTGAGCACATCAAGCTCTGCTGGATTTTAATTTTAAATAGTCATAAGGTAGGTTTATCTAAGGCCCAGAATAAATCTGTCCTTCATTTTTTTGTTGAAGAAAAGTGGAGTTGAAGCCATATGCATGGAAGACTTAGAAATTCTACACTTGTTCATAACAAGGAGTACAATAATTCTTTTGAAAAGGTGGGGGAAACTGTATACTGATTTAATCTAATGGGCTTGTGGGATCATACAAACCTCAGGACCCCTCCAGAATGTCTTAAAGTTATCGTAAGACAAAATTCTGCCGGGCTAATGCAGTATCATCGTAAGATATTCTCATGTGCAGAAAGCATTAACCTGACTGGCCCTTCCATGACACCTTCTCCAGGGCACTTGGCCTGTCTGCCGTCTTGCTCTACGGGGAAGCTATTCTAGCACAAGGCTAAACCGAGGGAATTCAGGTGGTGAAGTGCCTTGTGTTCAGTAGATCCTTATTTAACATCGTCCATAGATTCTTGATAACTGTGACTGTAAGTGAAATGATGTACTGTGTAATAAAACCAATGTTACTTTAGGCTAAGGGATAGAAACAAGAGTTAAGTTCCTGCAGCATACAGTATGTCGTTTCCTTTAAAGTTGCAGTCTCCAAGAACCTAGCAACAAACTTCAGGGATGACTTGTCCACTGGGACCATCAAGGCATGCGTCCAGATGAGACGTCTTTAGGTTGATCTAATTTTGTATACCTTGCTACTCTAAGCCTGGAACCTGCTAAATGACTCACTCCAGAATCCATAGGCGTGGACATTATCCAAAGAAGTATTAAGCACAGCTTAGCTTTGTCTCATTTGTCAAAGGAGTATCTTTCTAGCCTGAAAGTCTATATATTTTCCCCCAACAAGGCCATCATAGGTTTAGAATTGAAATGTGACCTTAACCCCAATTTGAACCTTTTGTAATTGATAAAGGTAGCATGCTGTACAGTTTGTGGGCCAGCATTTGTCTTTACAAAGGATTCGTTGCCTGTATATGCCATGCGTGTGTGTAATTGTAAATTCACTCCCTGGGGGTATCCACGCCTTTGCGTCCCACATCGAGCCCAAATCGTGGTGAGACAGTGGCCCGAATGTCAGTCCACCACTCCATGAAGTGTATTCCTGTGTAGCTGAGTCCAGCCACCATAGACACGTATTAAAGTTATTCATTAACTTTTGAATATCACAGGTGTGAAGCTCTTATCAGTCAGGATAGGCTTGGTTAATTGAGGTAAGAATTCTTGGTGACGTAAACCAACAATGGTGTGTTTTTGGCTCATGTTCTGTGTTCATCGTAAGTTGGCTAGGGCTCTGCTCGTCTCAGCGTTGGGGTCCAGGCTGCTGGATGCCCCCTCCCCATGCATGTTGTCGTGATTGCGGCATCAGGAGCAGGGAAGAGAGGCCGATCAGGCGGTGGCTCCTGGAGCTTCCTTCTGGGAGTGATGCATGACAACGCACTCATATTTCACTGGACAGAGCTAGTTACGTGGCCATGCCTAATGCCACGGGCGCAAAGGAGCCCACTCCTGCCGTGTGCCCTGGAGCGGAGCTGGAATGTCAGTGACCAGCTCTAACAGCCCTCCCTGGGGTAGCACTTCTGTTGAATGACATTTTTGAGCAGGACTGAGATAATAAGAGAACACAGTGCCACCAATCCACCGCCAGCACGCAAGGCCTATGGGCTCTACTTCCAAAGGATAATCGCAGTTCACCTGCTTCCCCGAGTCCCGGCTTGGGTTACTCTAACCCAACCCACTGTCGTCTCTGGTGTGGGCACCTGCCTGGCCGCCCTTTTCCTCTCGTGCCTTCCCGCAGTCCGTTTTCCACACTGCAGCTGGAGTGAGGGTTGTGCGACAGAAAGCAGATCGTGCCACTGTACATAAAAGCCCTGTGGTGGCGCCCTGGCACTTACGATGAGGATTCCTTACTGTGGCCTGTGAGGTGTCGCCGCCCCACCCTCCCTCCCCTACCTTGTCTCATGCCCACCCTCCCCTCTCTACCCAGCTGCTCTGCTGCCTTCAGTCATCCGCACTGTTCTCACCTCAGGGTGCTGTCCCCTGGGCCTGGAAGGACCATCCCCAAATCTCTGCACGGAGGGCTCTTCCGATTCATCAGGTCTCAGGTCAGACGCGCCCTCCTTGGAGAGAGGCCTCTCCTGGCCCATTCCTGCTGCCTTCGGGCCACCGTCCACCTCGTTCCTCTGCTGTAATTTTCTTCCCAGCGCATTGCGTTCATTGAAATGACTTTTTTGTGTCCTTGAGTGTCACCTGTCTCTGTGCCCCAGCGTGGAAACTCGTGAACCAGGGCCCGGGTCTGCTTCTGCTCTCTGCTCTGTCCCAGCCCCTAGAACAGCATCTGACACACCGAGACATACACGGCCCCGGTTAATGAATAAATGAGCACAAACTAAATGCAAGAGTTTCACTTTTATTTCCTACTTCACTTTGCTGGGTCTTGGCACACATTCAAAAAATCCAAATTCCGAAAGTGAGCAGAAGAACTCTCAAGGAGACTCGGGAGGTTATTCTCAGTCTGCTCTTGGCTGAATATTTTTTGTGGAACGGGCGGGAAGCCAGGCAGGGTTCGGGAGGCAGGAAAGCCGGCGCTCTGCGGGTCCGAGGCAGCCGCCTGGCCAGCTCCCTGTCCATTGGACGTCACCCGCTCCAGGGCTTAGGTAAAGGACGCGTTTTTGATGATGTTTCTGGACTGTCGATTCCCTCCTAGAATAATAGATTCGATCTCTGAAAGTGCCTTTAACATTAAGGCAAGGAAATCGCTTTCCCTGGAGCCGCGGATAATTCAAGTTGCTGGAGAAATTATGCATTAACATCCTCGTTAAAAACACACGCACCAGTGTGTGGTGGGGGACCGGCTGGTGCTTGCCGAGCTGTGGAAAGCTGCTCCGAGTGCCGAGTGCCGTTTGAAGTGCAGCCCCCCCCCCCCAGGGGGGGAATGGCCGGCATGGAGGTGGGAGTGAGTAGACACCTAGCACCTCCTCTGTGCTGTGGAGAGCAGGTCGCGAGAGCAGCCAGATTTGGTTACCTCCGTCCTACACCGCCCCCCACCCCTGCCGCCGGCCACCACCCCACTCGCACCAGGGGCCATTGGAAGAGCTAGGGGTGCTGCCCATGGTTCGCCGGCAGGTCTACATGAACTTTCTTGGCAACCCTAAACGTATGGGGAGGTAGTCACTCATTAATTCATTCAGTCATACATTTATTCATTCCTCAGGACTTTGCCAGCTCTGTAAGGGGCTGTAACAGGCACTGAGAGTCAAGGGAAATAAAGAAAGAAGAAAGATTCCCACGGCTTTATTAGCTGTGTGGCCTCGGGCATGCTATTTGACCTTTCTGTGCCAGTTTCCCCTTCTGTGTACCAGGAATAGTCACAGCACTTCTGGTGTTGTTTTCATTAGGATTGCAGGGGGTAACATTTGTGAAGTGCT